TCACTGGTAGAAAACACGTAGAGACAGAGTCCAGACCAGCGCTGATTCACTCCAGCAAGCCAGCAGTAAGTAGCTTTATGGTGGGACAGTGGGTACCATCAGTGCAGCTCCACTTGTATTCCCCTGAAGTTCAGGCTCCTTTCTGGACTTGGGGCTGGGACCAGACCTGCTCAGCACCCATCCATCAGTGCCCCTTCTTTGGGTTTGGACTCAGCGAGGAGCTCTAGGTGGACCCCGCAGTTGTTCTGAGTTCTGAGCCTAGTTGCCCCCTCTCCAACCCACTCCCTGTCAACTGCTCTCTCCTGTGGGATGACCGAGCCCTCAGCACTCACCATCAGCTAATGCAGTCCTGCACACACCCTGCTCCCTTCCACTGCTATGTCTCTCCCTGGAGGCCTCTGGGGTTGCCACCAGTCACTGTGCATCCGCAGGTTTGAACTGCTCCTTCCACGAAGTGAGAAGCTCAGGGAGAAGTCTCCACCGGCTACCTCCTCCTTCTTCTCCTTTGTTCTCCTCAGGAGCTTCAGTTCTTGCTTCAGATCCTTCCTGCATCCAGGGGACCCACTTCCCTCCTTCTTTTCCTTGCACTTCTACATTCCAGTGTGTGGACTGCAACTCTCAGAGAGGCTCTTTCTCTGCTGCTTACCACTCTGCCATCTTCCCTGAAGTCAAGACAACTTTTTAAACACAAATTCTGAAGTGACGTGGGTCTATGGGACCCTCTGTGCTGGTCAGGTCAACATACACAAGACCAGTTCAATGGAGCACAATGTGGGTAAAAACCCTGCAAACGTGCACACACCTTGCCGTTCGTCACACCAAGTGGGTAAACACGTAGATTGCTTCTTGTGTTCCTTAGGGAAAGGAACTGAGATGCACAGCCAGCTACTACTAAAGTACAAATTCACAGTAGAAAAGTAAGGGGTGAGTCTGCTGGACCCAGTGTTATGTTCTGCAGGCGATATGATCCTCACAGAAACTACACAGTGGTCACAATACAACAGTGCACCACCACACACTCAGGCAAGGACAGATGTGGTCAGTCCAGAAGCAGGGCCAGACAACATGGGTACTCTGGGGCTCCAGGCCTAGGGATGAAGGGTGCTCTTTCCCACCCTTCTTAGGAGGGAGGCCTGGATTCTGTTCACATTCACATGGGTCAGACATCAGTATGTCTTGGGTCTGTCTCGGAGCTACCTCTGTGACCTGATAATGGAAGAGAACCGGGCTGTGCTGACATCTTCTTGGTCAACTGCATCACCGACCTGGCGTCAGTGGCTATCCTGTCGGTCTACTGTATCACCGACACAATGTTAGTGACAGCTGGTGAGCACCAGGGCACACGATGGTGCTCCCTGGAGGGAGATAACCACGAGGGGCCCATGACGTTTTGGGGGCCTTCCTCCTTGGCCAAGCACCTAGGCATCCAGGGACTGGGACCATGCTGGGGTGTCCATGCCAGAGTGAAGGTGGACTTCCTGCACCTCATGCTCATATCATGAAGAAAGAAGCCCAGGGGGCTCTGCAGGCTGCACACTCCACGCCCGGAAAGAATGCTCAGATCCACTTATCGAGTGAGACAAGAGGACTCAGCGCCCCCCTCCTCCTATGCAGGCGGAAGCAGGCTTCGGTGCAGTGCCTGCTCCAGGGCAGAGCAGTGTGGAGGGTAGCAGCAGGCTCAGGCCACCACAGCTGCCAGCACATGGGTCCTGGGGTTCTCAGTGCTTGCCCACAATGCCCCGGGCCACCCCTGGAAAGCTATGGCAAAGCAATGACGAGACAGAAGCACCAGCACAGTGACACCTGTGTGAACGGTGGGTATGTCCATCCTAAGATGACGCCCATCAGTCATATCCTACTGTTCCCGGCTGGCTGGAGACACGGGCCTGGGGACGCAGGAGTGGAAGGGGATGCGGCCCTGCCTCTCCCTGCTCCTGTGCCCTACCTAGGAGCCCTGTGCTTCCTCTCCACAGCTCTAGGTCTGTGTGGTCCCTGTGCACCCCACTAACACTCAAGCTGGGACAGCCCACGTCACGTTATCTTTTTTTTTTTTTTTGGTACTGGGAATTGAACTCGTGACCTTACTTGCTAGTCAGGTGCCTGAGCTGCTGAGCTATATCCCCAGCCCCACAGTCACGTTAGACTCGTGTTTTACGTCCAAAGAAGATGATCGACAGGAAGCAGATTGTGGATACACGTCTCTGAGTACTCCTTGCCCGACTGTGTGTGTGTGCCCGCCCATGTGTGTACGGTACTGAGGACTGAACCTAAGGGCTTTGGCACTGAGCTTCATTCCCAGCCTCTCTCATATATATATTTTTGAGGTAGGTTCCTCTCGAAATTATTAAGCTGCCCAGGCTGGACTTGAACTTGCAATCCTCCTGCCTCAGCTTCCCAGAGTGCTGGGGTTACTGGAATGCTTTCCCACGCCCAGCTCCCTTGCCCAGTTTTGATCATCAGCGGACAGGTGAGATGGATGAGGTGACTCAGTTCTCCTCCTCCAAGACTGGGGTGTGGGCCACCTCTTCTAGATGAAGGGTTGCGCTAGAGGTGGGTGCAGGGAATCTGGAGTGGGTGGCGGAGGAGGGAAAGACGGGAATCAGCTGCAGCCTGGAGATGGACTGTAGCACTGGAAGCTGCAGCTCAGCCCTGATCTTCCAAGTTTTCCTGGGGAAGAAACCAATGGGGAATGGAACCAGGCAGACTTTCCAAGTAACGGGGAGGATACCCGCTCACGTTCACTCTAGACTTCAGGGAGTTCCCGGGCCTTTTTCCTTGCTCCATTTCAAGAAAGGGCAGCGGTCAGGCATTTATCCTCCCCTGTCCTCTAGCCAGCAATGAGGTGGTTCTCTGGGCTCCTCTAACAAAGCAGTCTTTGCCCCATTATTCTACAGTGCAGCCGCCAGCCGCCAAGCCCTACCCACCATAGAGAGCTCACAGCCTGTGTGTCTTAGAGCCTTGCTGTTTTAAGACAGGCCAGGAGAGTCATCCAGACACAGGAGGGAATCCAACATGGGAGAGACAGGGAGCCAAGGGAGAACAGAACCAGGGACAAATGAAGGGAGCAAGGAGAAACTTCAAAAATTATAGTAGGGATCATTAAGGAGATGAGGAAAAAAGTGACTCATCAATAAAACAAGAATAAACTGCCATTAAAAAGAATATTCCAGGGAAGCTGAAAACTCAGCAGAAGCATTAACAGACAATGTGAAAAATTGTTCCAGAAAGCTGAACTGACCCTGCTCAAAGAAACAGGAAAGAGAGAGAGAGTAAGAGACAGAAAGAGTGTGTGTGTGAGAGTTTACACAGATGAAGGTAGTATAAAACAGCAAAAAAACCCTCATCTCTATGGAAGGATGGCAAAAATAAAGTATAAAATTGAAAAGAATCAAGAGATAACAGTCAGGGCTGGGGACTTAGCTCAGTGGCACAGCGCCTGCCTGGCAAGTGCAACGTCCTGAGTTTGATTCCTGGTACCAAAAAAAAAAAAAAAAAAAACCCACACAAAAAAGAGATAACAGTCAAATTATATCATGTAGACTATGGCAGTAACTATCACAAGATTCAGGGTGTGTCAGTGTGTGGGTGATAGGTGTGTCGGTGTATTTTACTGTCACTGTGACAAAAGATCTGAAAGTCAACAGGTGTATTTGCCTCACCATTTCCCAGGTTTCAGCCATCGCTGCTGGCTCCACTACTTTTAAGCTTTTAGGCCCCTGCTTTTCATGGTGGAAGGGCATAGAGCAGGACAGCTGCTCATCTCATGGTGGCCAGAAAAAACAGAGACAGGGAAAGAGTCCCCAAGAAGAGGCCAGGGACAAAGGGCTACCTTTCAAAGCCATGCCTGCTGTGACCTGCTCTGTCCAGTTAGACACTACCTCTTAACAAGGCCACTGAGCTGAGATGAAATGGATTAGTCCACTGATGAAGTTAGAGCCCTTGTGATCTGGTCACTTCCAAAAGCCTCCATTTCTGACTGCTGCACCAGGCACCAAACGTTCTACACAGAACTGCTGGAGGACCCGTCATACCGAAACCAAAGCATGCGGATTCCAGTGCTCTGTATGTCACTCTCGTCTTATTTTTAATATAACTCCTACGTTTTAAAGTCCTCCTTTTCATCCTGGACAGTCTACTAATCCACTTTTTTTTTTTGGTCTTTTTGAGACAGAGTCTCACTATGCAGTTCAGGCTGGGCTTGAGCTCACTTTGTAGCCCAGGCCGGTCTCGAACTTAAAACGATCCTCCTGCCTCAGCTTCCTGAGTGCTGGGATTACAGGCATGCGCCACTTACCCAGCCGTATTAATCCACTACTAATACAATGTTAGTGCCCTTATTATGTGGAAGGGGAAGAGGATAAAAGTAAAATACAGTGTTCTTTATGGTAAAGGAAAAAGAGCCCTGTGATTTCTAGTTCAAGAAATCTTAAATTTGTATCACTTTTCTCCAAAGAAAGGCTTTTTTATTTTCAAACATTTAATAATACTTCTATAAATACCGTGATAAAAAAATTTTGTCTGGAACTCAACAACCAAGTTCTAAAGTATAACAAACAATGAATAGAGGAAAACCAATCTTCAGAAAAATAGGTATGAGCCCATTTATATAAAAACCAGATCAAACAAAAAAAGCCCGAACCTCCTCATACAGCTGTGTGTACAAATCTGTACGGAAGTGCATGCAAACGGGGGCTGGAGGCCACGGCAAACTGTCACAGTGGTGACCGCTGCAGGCACACAGGGCTGCGAGGGGAGACGCCTTTTGACTGGTGATCAGTTCACAAGGTGAGAATTTCAAGTGACCAGGACGCACCTGGGGCACACACGGCCCCTTCCCGCTTTTGCTGCTCCCTTGCCCTACTACTCTGTCACCAACGACACAGAAGCCCGGGCTTGGTGACACTTGCTTTTTCAGAGAAATGCTACTACTCTAGCCCCAGGGTTCTGCAGCTTCCCCCCAACAGCTCTGGCCTCCGAGGCCACGGAGGCAGGCACGTTACCTCCAGGTGGCCCTGCTGGCTCTTGTACACCACCTGCGGGTCCTCCTGCAGGATGCTGCCGTACAGCTCGCGGAAGTGGGCTACGTTGGGCTTCACGATATTCTGCACCTTCGCCTTTTCCTCCCCGATCACCATGCGGAAGTCACCTGGTTAAGGTAAAGAGCAAGATCTCCTCTGAAGAATCCACACTGTGATCTGTGAACCACTGCCCCCACTCTGCGACTGCACTGGTCTGACCTGGCGGGACTCCTCATCGAAACGCTTGCTTTTCCTCCCGACCCCAGGCAGGCAGGCACGCACTTGTCTCGGGGAGAACAGCCTCTGGCATCAGAAAGCCCTACTGGCAGATAAAACACAGCACACGGCTGTTCAGACACCAAAGCAGTTCTCAGAAGCGATTCACGTCCGCTTCCTCCTGCAGGCGTTCCTGGGCCTACAGCCCCTGCCTCAGCCCACCCGAGCCAGCCAGGGAGCAGGGACCATGCACTACACTGCAGTCACCCTGACCACTGCTTGCTCGCCTTGACTGTCTGGGTGAGGGTCGCTAAGAGGCTTTCTGAGTCTACCAAGCCTTACTGCATTGGATTTGGGTAAGGGCAGCGAGTGGTGAGAGTCCTGGTAAGAAGGTTTAGAGAACTGAAGACAGAACTGAAAGCAAACGTAACATTGAAAGTCCCAAGCGGCAATGGATAAGGGATGCTGCCTTTGCCTATGAGCTGCAAAATAAACAATCCTGAAGGACAAAGGGCAACTTCTGAAAGGATGAGCAGTGCATAGCCTCTGCCGCTGACGAGCATCAACAGGATGTGCAGGAACAGGAAGTTGCCAGGTGAGGTGGCACATGTCTATAATCCCAGCACTTGGGAGGCTGAAGCAGGAAGACCGAAGCAGGAGGATCGTTGTGAGTTCGAGACCAGCCTGGGCTACAAAGTGAGCTTAAGACCAGCCTGAAGAGATCCTGTCTCAAAAGGACAAAAAAAAAAAAAAAACAAGAAGAGATGAGACAAGAGGACTGAGTGAATGTCTAGCAGGGTGATGTGAATTTAGCAGGGGCTGGTGGGTAGCACACAGATGTAATCTGAGAACTATGGGAGGCTGAGGCAGGAGGACTGCAAATTTGAGACCAGCCTGGGCAACTTGGCCACTCAGCAAGGCCCTATCTCAAAATTTAAATAATGTCTGAATAAATGAAAGAATAGATAGATGGGCTGAGTGTGAAGCTCAGAGAGGTGGCCCTGAGTTCAACCCTCAATAAAGCATCAAAAAAAAAAAGGGGGTAGGGCAGGGTGTAGCTCAGCGGCAGTGCCTGTGCTTTGCATGTAGGGGCCCCGGGCTCCCCCGCTGCGCCAAGAATGAGGCTGGACACACAGAGTCCTGGGTTAAGCCTGGGAGGGACAGTGATGTGGCTAAATCTTGCTGGACAGTTGGTGAGCGGCCAGAGGTGGGGAGGGACAAGTGCAGGCAGACAGCCCAGCGGCCAGGGAACCCCCGGGACCAGGGTGACGGTGCAATTTATCACCCAAACTAGGTCACTTGGGAGGGCGAAGACAGCGCAGCGGCTATACCAGGAGAGCCAGTGCTAGCGCTTCGCTCGAGCTAGTTGTTGGCGCATTTTGGAAAAAGTTAAAATACAAAGATGTTTGCAATGCTTGGGATGTGATTTCTCCCTCCGAATTTCATGCTGGGGTTAATCTCCGAGTGGGGTGACTAAGAGGGGGGAGACTTAATCTGACTCTAGTGCTCAGAGGTGGCGCCTCTGAGAGGTGACTGGGGTTAGACGCCGTCAGGGTGGAGCCCCAGGACCAACTACTGCTGGCTTCAAGAGAAGAAAAATCTGAGGTTGGTCGCACATGTCTGTGATCCTCCTGCCGAGGCAGGGGTGGCCACCAATCCAAGGGCAGGCTGGGCTACACAGGGAGACCTTGTCTCAAAAAATAAAAAACAGAAAAAGTGAAAAAAGAGAGGCGACAGCTGCACACCTGCTTTCATCACCTGACACCCAGGCCTGCCTGGGACTCCGTGTCAAGAAGGCTGTCACCGGGTGCCGCACCAGACCCGAGGGCCGGACTCCAGGCCAACAGCTACTTCTTTCCTCTCCAATACACCCAGTCTGCTTGCTTCAGTGAGGGCCGCAGGACCAGGGCACCCGAGCTCTGTCAGCAGAGCGCAGGCCATTCGAGCACCGGCAGGAGCTGGGCTGGGTCCTGGCAGCTGATGTACTGGATGACTTTGCTTTTCCCCATGATTTAAAGGGGAAGAATCATGCAGTTGCATCTAAGGATCAATGCAAATGCAGGTGTTGGTTCACCCGTGGCTGGTGACATTGTCAGTGCGGACAGCTGCCTGGAAAGCTGCAGAGCATGAGCCCCAGCTCTGGACAGCACACTGAGGACACCAAGGGCAGCGATGAACAGGCAAGGCTGGCGGAGCCCCTGGGAAGTGCCAGGCGCAGGCTCCCCAATGCAGTGTCACACTGTCCCCGGGACCTGCATTTTCCTTGGGCACACACTGCCCTGTCCCCATTTGGGGACAAAGCAACAAAGATATACAGAACAAGTCACCTGCTGGGATTTCCCAGAAAGCAAAGTCTATGCTACACAGGAAAACTTCACGGGCTGGGGGCGTGGCACGCACAGGCCTGGGTTTCAGCCCTAGCACTGTAAAAATAAGAGAGATGAGCCAAAACACCTGTGGCCGGAAGCGTTATTTATACTGGAAGCAAACTGAGTGTCCAGCAGGAAAAGGATCAGCTATGATGGCATAATCTGCTGTGTCCTGGGCTGTGTCTCACCAATGAAGCTCACACTCGCCATGCACATTGCACAACATGCTACAGAACCAAGACAAAAGGACAATGATGAAAAGCTCTGTGGAAAGCAAAAAAAAAAAAAAAAAAAAAAAAAAGGCATTGAAAGCAAGATGTGGGGATTACACAAAGGTAATGGCTGGGGACATGCTCAGGTGTGCAGCTCTTGCCAGCCATGCAAGCCCTCAATCCCCAGTAAGGGGAAAATGCGTATTCACTGTAGGTCCTCCGTGTGTGTGTGCATATGTGTGTGTACACACACACACGCTTTGCGTCTGCTACCTCTTTCAGTCCCGGCAGAGCTCCCTAAAGCAGGCACTGTTGTTAATCCCAGTGTTAGAGATGAGGACATGAAGGGGCCAAGGCAATTTGTCCAAGGCCCAGCTGCCCCTCAGTATCAAGGCACTGACAAAAGGAGACTATTTTACTCTACTTGGTGATCTGCCTATATGCCCCTCTCTTCCACCAAGCTGGCCAATTGCCTTGAGCGCTTTTTCCTACTCACGGCACACACTGAGGGGTGGCTTGACAGCGTGAGTGTAGGACAGGCTGGGTTAACGTCCAACTGTGCGACCCCTCACAGTTTCACTGACAACCTTGAATGGATTCTATCAATGAACACTGAATCATTGATTTAGTTCTTTGTTTTTGTTTTCTTTTTGGTTTTTTGAAATAGGGAATTGCTATGTAGTCCAGACTGGCCTTGAACTCATGGTGATCCTCCTGCCTCAGCCTCCTCAGTGCTGGGGTTACAGGTGGGGGTCACTACGCCCAGCTATGAACTCTGAAACCAGCAGGTCCTGAAGTAAAAGATCAGGTTAAGTTCTAAACACTGGTGTCAGTGTTCTTCTGTGCATTCCACAAACAAGAAAGTTTCCACATTTTATGTAGTAACTTTTGAGACAAGGACTATATGTGCTAAAATGTAAAAAAGCAAACAAATCCAAGTCCTCCTCCATAGGACAGATATGTGATCCCTGAAGGACCTAGAAGAGACCCTGGGCTCTGAGAACAAGGACTGGGCCTGGCCGGGAAGGCACACCAATAAACATCTGCTGAGCTGAGCTGCTCTGACCGTGTGCAGCAGGAGGAGCCCAGCCGGGGGACAGCGAGCAGACGGGCTGAGTACTCTTGTGTCGGCGCAAAGTGAGCAAGACAGTGTGCACAGCATGAGCCAGAGCCTGAGGATGAGCCTCAGCTTCTCACCTCCAGGGATCCGTATGCAACAAAGCACAGGGACTGAGAAAAACACCTCTACTGTCAGCTATCTCTGGGCACACAAGGGCTCCCTTCTCTTACCTAAACCAAAAGCCACTCTCCCAAGAGTTTTCTAAGTTTTAGCTCTTACACTTAACTCTTTTGTCCATGACCCGCTTTGAGTTAACTTTGTATATGGTGGGAGCTAAGGCTCTAACTCCACTCTTTCACAAGGGGACAAGATAACTTTTTAACAAAGATGGCTAAGGCTAGACTAGCCCTCGGATCCTAACATGGGAGTCATTTCAAAGTGCAACCATGGGAGTGTCACACCCAAGTTTATTCTTCAGGCTATTTCTATTGATGAATTATTAATTTTTATTTTATGGGTTTCATTAGACAGTGAGTGCTTAACAGGGAAAAAAAATCACAAAATAATGTATTGCATACTTAATATTTATTGAGTGCTTATAAAAAAGCATCAAACTTTTCAACTGGTTTTTGGTGTACAAAAACTGGTTTTCAACTGGTTTTGGGGGTACAAAGTCTAAGAAAGATAAACAGAAATAAATTCCTATATGAACTACAATGAAAACACCAATAGTACTCTACAAAAAAATCTTTACTTCAATTATCACACCTAAATAAAAAGAAAATAAGATGTCAATAAAATAAAATACCAAATATTTAATGAGTGCTTAGAAAACATTTTCACATCAGCTGTACCCTGTTACGAAACCTAAGAGATATCGGAAATAAAAATGTATGTGAGCTACAATGTAAACACAAACAAAAGTCTACCACAGAAAGAATCTTTGCTTCCACTGTCACACCCAAGGCAGTCTTTACCCACAACTGCAGGCTCCATGCACATGTCTCACTTACACTGACAGCACATGTGCTCAGCTTTCCTTTCCTGTGTGGCAGGCTAGCTTTGTCACCTCTCTCTCTCCCTGTTCTGTCAAGAGCTTCCTGCTACACTGTACAACAGGCACTTAGCAGGGAAATAAGATTTCTGTAAGATAAAATATGAAATATGCAATGAGTGCTTAGAATAGTCATCAACACTTTCACATCAGCTGTTTACTTGCTTATAAAACCTAAAAGGCAACATCAGAAGTAAAAACCTATCTGAACTGCAAT